AGGATGATACTTAATGACAAAATGGACTAGTATGCCGTTCCTTTGAAATTTCCACCTTCACATGGACCCTGAGTCTCCTCTCTGCTTGTATTTTTCAGTTTGTGTATTTAAAATATTGGAGCAGAAAGTGGAAAAAGAACGCGTTTGTAATTCCTGCTTTTGTAAATATCTAATTTATTTTTTTTAACTTTTTGATGCAGAAAATGAGAAGAACATATTATAGAGTAGTAAATTTACATTTTACCAAAAAAAGAGAGCATATTATACAATTTTGAATATCTAACTGTGAAATTCCTCCCCTTGGCCATCAAGAACCTGGTTTGGAATTGGATTTTCTAACTCAGGTGTTTCATCATCCTTGTGCTTGTTAAAGCTAGTGTAAAGTTTTGTGAAAGATTTTTTTATATTTCATTCAACGATACAGATACAATATATATATATATACAAGTCTGGATGTGAAGCAGTTACACAGTTTGCAAATAAAAGGAGAAAATCAAGGAAAGCTAATCCTTATCCTTATCTTTATCTGAACAGAAAATCAAAACAGGAAAACAAATCTGCTCTAGAATCCTCTGTTTCAGAAACTGTTGCAGCTGCAGAATCCTCATAAGAATCAAGACCTCATTAAGACTCCCCCTCAAGTTGGAGCCTGAATAGAGTAAAGGCCCAACTTGCCTCGTAAAAAATGAAAGTGGTTTGTACCAAGAGGCTTAGTGAAGAAATCTACCAATTGTTGAAGTGAAGAAACATACCCAGTAGATAAAAGACCCGCTTGTAATTTTTCACGAACTAAATGACAATCTATCTCAATATGCTTGGTGCGCTCGTGAAAAATAGGATTAGCTGCAATATGAAGAGCAGCCTGGTTATCACAGAAAAGCAAGGAAGGCTGAGGATGTGAAATACCTAAAACATGAAGTAAGGATCGAAGCCAAGTAAGTTCACAAGTAACAGACGCCATGGCTCGATACTCTGCTTCAACGGAAGAACGAGAGACAACATGCTGCTTTTTGGTACGCCAGGAAATAAGACTGCCACCAAGAAAAACACAATAACCAGTAGTAGACCGTCTTGTTATGGGACAAGAAGCCTAATCTGAGTCACAGTATGCTGTGAGTTGAAGAGTTCCAGAGGCTGGTAAGAGAAGACCATGACCAGGTGTGGACTTGAGATAACGCAAAACTCGAATGACGACATCCAAGTGAGGTTGTCGTGGTTCATGCATGAACTGACTAAGAAGATTAACAGCATATGTGATATCCGGCCGTGTGACAGTGAGATATAAAAGTCGACCAATGAGCCGACGATAAAGTGATGGATTTGACAACAACTCACTAGAAGATGTATCAAGCTTGATATTTTGCTCCATGGGAAATGCACGAGGTTTGCAACCCATGTAGCCAGAATCACTAAGAATGTCTAAAATATATTTCCTCTGGTTGAGAAAAATGCCTTTGGATGATCTTGCAACTTCAATGCCCAAAAAATATTTAAGGATACCAAGATCTTTCATATGGAATCTGCTGTGCAAGAATGACTTAAGAAAGGAAATAACAGCTACATCATTCCCTGTAACTATGATATCAAGGTTACAATTTTTGGGAGAGGGGAGGATCAAACCTCAGTTCGCGATTAGAGAATGCACTTTATAAGTCAATTTTATGACTGTTGGACCGTGAAGCACAAGTACCCCTACAAGAACAAACATTTTAACAGCACCATTAATCCGAGTAAAAAGTGAAGGGTCCACAGGAGAACTCAAGAAACCCACCTCCAGTAACGCACTAGAAAGTTTAGCAAACCCATTGTGAGAGGCTTGCTTTAGACCATATAATGATTTCTGTAATTTACAAACACGATTCTCCCCCTGACGAGAAAAACCAAGTGGTATTTTCATATATACTTCTTCATGTAAGTCACCATGTAAGAAAGCATTTTGAACATCCAACTGATGCAAAGACCAATTTTGATTCGCTGCCACTGCTAACAAACACCTCAAAGTAACCAATTTAGCCACAGGTGCAAATGTTTCATGATAATCAAGACCTTCTTGCTGAGTAAAACCTTTGGCAACAAGACGAGCTTTATACCGCTCAATTGTACCATTAGTTTTATATTTAATTTTGTAGACCCATTTACAACCAATAGGAACTTTACCTTCTGGTAACTCAGTTAGAATCCAAGTCTGATTATCCTCAAGAGCTTTAATCTCTGTTTCCATTGCTTGTCTCCAATTTTCATCCTTAACAGCTTGAGAATAATTAGAAGGCTCATGCATACTCGAAATAGAAGCAAGGAAAGCATAATGACTTGGTGATAAATTTTTTGCAGATAAAAAAGAACTAATAGGACATGGTGTACCTAACTTGGAGTCCAATTGAGTAGTGGCGAGCGAGCATTGATAATCGGAGAAGTATCGTGGACATATACGAGTTCTAGTGGAAAGCCTTAAAGGTTGGGTAGGATGTAAATTTGGAGATGAGGATGGCACATTTGTGGGTAATGCATGTGTAGGAGAAATAGGTGAGGACGGTGATGGACTTACAGGTGACGAAATTATGGGTGATGATGTGGATGATAATATATTATTAGCAGGAGACTCCATAGATAGAGAGCTACATTCATTATCATTGATTGGAATAGGTAAAACCACATGATTATTTTCTGTAGTATGAGCTGTTTTAAAAGGAAAAAAGGTCTCATGAAAGACAACATCTCGACTTATAAAGACAACTTTTGTATCCAAATCATAAAGTTTGTAACCCTTTTGTCCAAAAGGATAACCAAGAAAAATGCACTTATGAGCACGGGCATCAAATTTATTTGGATGATGATGATTATATGCAAAACATACAACCAAAGACTCGTAAATGACTGTAGTTAGGCTTGACATTATGCAGAACTTCAAAAGGAGTACGATTACCAAGCAAAGGAGTAGGCATGCGATTGATCAAATAAGTAGCGGTCAAGATACACTCACCCCAAAATTTTAAAGGAAGGTTGGATTGGAATCTTAATGCCCGTGCAACTTCAAGCAAATGCCTATATTTTCGCTCCACTACACCATTTTGTTGGGGGGTATAAACACAACTAGTTTGATGAAGAATTCCATGAGTAGAAAGGTATGACTGTAGATTAGAATTTAAGAATTCAAGGGCATTATCACTGCGAATTTTCTTAATATTGACACTAAATTGTGTATTGACCATAGCAATAAATTGTTTAAAAAAAAAAATGCTACTTCAGATTTATATTGCATGAGATAAACCCAAGTACAACGTGAAAAATCATCTACTATGGTCAAGAAATATTTAGCTCCTGACAATGAATTGAGAGAAAAAGGTCCCCAAACATCCACATGAATTAATTAAAAAGGAATATTAGTAGAAATACTACTAGAAGAAAAGGGCAAACGATGTTGTTTAGCCAAAGGACAAACCTCACACAAACAATTTTCATTAATAACAATTTCTTTATTGAATTGAGAAAGAAAATTCAATCTCTGATGGGACAAATGTCCTAAACGAAAATGCCAAATATCAAAGGTAGAAGGAATTTGAACATTCAAGGCAAAAGAATTTGACCGAAATAGATACAACTCCCCTTCACGCTTCGCCACTCCACTCGTCCTCCAAGTTGATAGGTTCTGAAAATAACAGAGACTTGGTGTGAATATGGCAATACAATTAAGTGTAGATAGAAGGGCACTGATAGAGAGAAGATTGTGCTTGAAGGATGGCACACAAAAAACATTTTTAAGAGTAAAGGATGTAGACAAATTAACATCACCCATATGTGTAATAGATGTAGACTCACCTGTAGGTAGAGTCACAGGAGAAAGATAAGGTGTAGATATAGGATTTGAAAGATTATTAATAGAGCAAGTCATATGGTTTGTGGCTCTTGTATCAATAATCCATGTGTGAGAATCAAAAAAATGCTTACCGGCCAAATTAGCTGCAAAGTTGGCAGAAGCTGAAGTAGATGAATTCCCTAACTGTAAAGGATTAGAATTAGAGCCAAGCAATGAAAGCAGTTGATTATATTGCTCTAGAGTGAGTGGTGGTGCTATTGTAGGAGAATCAACAAGCGGAGTAGCCTAAACATGATTAGCACGCAGAGTGCAAGGGAATCCATGTAGAACATAGTAGCGGTCTTTTGTATGTCCCAATTTTTGACAATGATCACAATATCTCCTACCTCTCTTGGGCTTAGAATTATAATTGGTACGTTGAACATTTGAAGATGGATTATCACGCACCTTTTGTGAGTAAAAAGTAGATGCAGCAAAATTGCCATTTTGTGACGATTTAGAAAGAATGTCATGTTGTTTTTCTTCTCGTAACATCAGAGAATATGCCTTGTTAACTGCTGGAAGAGGATCCTTTAATAGGATTTGTGACCTAATAGAGCCATAAGAATCATTAAGCCCCATTAAAAATTGCATCAGTTTCTCTTGTTGCTGGATGTCAGAGAATTCCTTCATAGCTCCACATGTGCATGTTGGTAAAACAACATAAGAAGATAACTCATCCCACAGTGCTTTGAGTTTATTATAATAAACAGCAACAGATTGTTGTTCTTGGGAATTCATTACGATGGCTCATCGCAACTCATAAACTTTCACAGCATTTCCTTGTGAAAAGCGTTCTTCAAGCTCTTGCCATATTGTACTGGCAAGATCTGCATAGATGATACTTTCACAAATTTCTTTGGAGATTGAATTGAGCAACCAAGAGATTACCATGGTGTTACAACGAGTCTATGATTGAAGATTAGGAGAATCACTTGCTGGTTGCGGCAAACTCCCATCAACAAAACTTAATTTGTTTTTTGCTG